GCTGCTCCACAGAAGCATATGAGACCTGAAAGACCTTGAAAGAGGTGAATGAAATGTCAGATTTGGTTCTTAGGGTGTACAAACAAGCCTTGGAATCCCATCACTCTTCCCTCCTAGGTGTTGTTTTCCACTCTGATGATCAATTTTCTTTTTCTCCTCCAAATTTGTCCCAGGTTCCCCATGTAGTTTTCTTCAAACCTGGTGGGCTCCAGATGTATTGGGAGTAGAATTCCCCGTGGCTGTACTGAGTATCAATTCTGCCTCTTTTACTATTAGCTTTCTTTCCTCAATGCGTAAAAGACCAATGCCATCTCTGTGGAATATTTTGAGTTTATGTTAATTGCTTTAAAATGACTTTCCTCTTTAGCTCATTAGCATTAATGCTATGTGGATGCTCCCCTGATTTCTAATGAGTGGATGTTGCAACATAACATAAACAGAAAGGAGCACCTACCCTCCTTGACAAAATATTGCTTTTCTGTGTATTAATCGTAATGATTTGATTAGAGTATGGCTAATCCTCAATTTATAACTGTTTGTTTAATGAATATTTTGCTTAATTGTTAAACTTTGTAAACAAATGGTACTGCCAGGGTAGAGCTGCAATGTAATATTAGGGTTGCTATTGCAGGAACTGGGCTTGGCTAGTCTAGTGAAGAGAAGGACCGGGGGAGACATGAGAGCAGCCTTCCAGGGGCTGCCACGGAGAGGAGGAAGGGATCAAACTATTTTTTAAAGCACCTGAAGGCTAGACAAGGAATAATGGATGGAAACTGATCAAGGAGAGATTCAACCTGGAAATAAGGAGGAATTTTCTGACAGTGAGAACAATCAACCAATGGAACAGAAGTTGCCTTCGGAAGTTGTGGGAGCTTCATCCCTGGAAGCTTTCAAGAAGAGACTGGACTGCCATCTGTCAGAAAAAGTGTAGGGTCTAAATGACCTACAAGGTCCTTTCCAACTCTGTTAATCTCCTAATCTAATACTGCCAACCATGATTCTGTCAGGATTTTTTACTATAATTCTAATAACACTCCCCTAATTTGCTTGCAATGGGCGTTTCCTGCTGATAGAAATGTTTTTCTTGCATCTGTGATATGCTAAGAAAATATAGAAGATTTTGCATGTGCAAAGAGTGCCCTCTGCCCACTTGTGATTTGGCCAATCAAAATAAGATTCAGAAGCTGTAATCCTCCATTTATTATTCCGAAATTCTCGCTGCCTGTTGCTTTGAGTTAACATGTCTGCTGATGTTGCTTTGCAGCAACTTTCAAAGAGAGAAATCCCTGCAGATGTAAACAGAGTTTATGACAAGAGTAAAATGAAACGTACTAACAAATAATGCACCTAACAGCCAAAACAAGCAACTCAAAATTAACCAGTTGTTACACATGAAGCAATGAGAGGCAGGATTTGGTTGTGCATTCTGCACTTCATTGATGTATGTATTCATTCATCCACTTAATGATTTTTCTATGGCCATCAATTCATCACAACTCTTAGCATCCAAACGAGAACAATCACCAAAATAGTAGATGTCAAAATAAACAAAGCAAATTGGCAACTAAGGTTGCTAATTCTGGACCTTACTCCAGAATCTAGCCCACTGCGCTGTGTGGAACGGCCCGGTTTTTGAGCCAATAGGGTTGCAGCCATCCAAACTCCACACCAAGCTGTTCCACAACCACAACAGCGCAAATGTTTGAAAAAGCCTTGAGATAAACATGTTTTACCTCACATCTAACTGTCAACTCTGAAGCGAACTCAGCTGAAGCCATCTTTTGCAGCCTCATAGTTGCCACGAACTCCAATGAGGGAAAGGGAGGGGGAAGTAGATAGACTGGCTAGCAGTCAAAACAAACAGTTTTCTTGTGGGAACCAAGGTCATCCCAACAGGTGACAGTTGGAAGAGGAGAGGAGTGACCAAGGAACCCACCAGATACCCTATTTGGACAATGTGACCAGTGACACTTGGGAGGGGAGACAATTGCTCTTTTAATTATGTCACAAGCGCAGGAAAACTTTCAGAGCTGGTTTTCACTAGCTGTACCGATATGATGTATCCAATAAACATGTTCTTTGAGGAATCTATCTGCCTTGGAGTTCTGGTTTTGGCAGGTGCATTACTCAGAATGCTGACACTAAAATATGGTCAACAATGTGCCAGAACGTCTATCATGCAGCGAAGATGGCTTCTGGCAGTCCTTCCCATATCCTCTTCTAGCTGGATCGCCTCCATTAATCATTTTAATAGAGGCAACATGATCACACATGCGAAAAGGAAATCTCTGGGCTACGTTTAGGATGAAAGTTGGCAACTTCTTCCTTTAAGCTGAATCTGCTGAAGGTATGGTAAGCCAGGATGGAAGGAGGTGGGGGTTGGGGTTGGGCCAGAATCTGAGATTTAGAAAATTCTCTTTTTTTCTCTCTCTCTCTTCATTTCTGTCCTCCCAGCAGCAAGTTGGTGGGAAGGAGGCAGTTAGCTTTTACCAGAAGTCTGATTTCAAAGGAGGTTTGAAGTTAAGCCAAGGCTCTGGATTGTCTGCTTCTAATTCTCCAAAGCAGCAGAAAGTAGGACAAGAAGCAATGGGGGGGAAGATCATTGAAGCAGACTCAACTTAGAACTAAGGAGCAATTTTCTGACAGTGAGAACAATTAATCAGTGGAAGGACTTACCTCTGGACATTGTGGGAGGACAACCTCCAGTGATGGGAATCTGGAGGTTTTCAAGAAGAGATTGGACAGCCATTTGTCTGGAATCGTATATGGTCTCCTGCTTGAGCAGGGGTTGGGCTAGAAGACCTCCAAGGTCCCTTCCATCCAAGTTACTCTATGTTCTGTGTTCTAAATCAGACTAGCTCTTGGAACTCTACCCAGAGTGTTCAAATGATACAAGGGGATGGTGCATCTGGCACATGAGATTACCCTTTCGACTCTTCCCTAGTTCCAGCTGAAAAATAGTTTAAAAATGACACGGGAAATAATGTGCTAGACAGCCGATAAAAAAGCCCAACATTATCATCTACACTTATCAGTTGCAGAGCAGTATCCCTTTTGCTGAAATTGAGCGATTTGTGATTCCCTGCGTGATTTGTGCTGCTTTTCGCGTAGCTCGAAGGCACTTCGGCCAAAGTTACTTTTTCCTAATTTTATCAAGAGTAAAGGCTGCTCTTTGCAAATATGCAACTGATCCCTCCTTTGGTCTTCGCCCTAAACAGATTTTCTTCCCTGCATTCAACTAATGTATGATCTCTTGCCTTCCAGTAAACCCATCTAAGAGTCTTTGGGCTCTCTTTGTGACTGTTAAACAGCAGAAAATATTCCTTGAGGATATTTTCCTGTCTCTCTTCATATGCTAAATTTCTCCTCTTAGTAAAAATCCCTGGCAGGAATTGAATGACATGCCAAAGCTTTCAGCTGCTATGCTATAGAAACAGCATTGAGCCTTCAGAATGAGTAATGGGCTACAGCCATTTCTTTGACAGATTGCTTAGTTTAAGTTCAGGAATCAAAAAAAATTGGGAATGGAGACAGTCTCATTGCAAGGGCTGAGCACATTCAAGGTTTGAGAATTAAAACCTGATAACATCTAATTAAACATTTGCTTCTTAAAACTATACAAACACAGATTCTTTCTTTTTTTTCCATAAGCAAAAGGCCACCTGCTTTCCACGCCATGCTATATCATACACAGAGTCCTCGACTTAACGACCACATTTGAAGCCAACATTTCTGTCGCTAAGCAAGACAGTTAAAGTGAATTTTGCCCCATTTTATGACCTTGCTTGACCACAGCCGTTAAGCGAATCCTTTCAGTTTGTAAGTTAGTTGCCCGGTTAGTTAGTTTTCCCCTTCCCTTGTCAGAAGATCACAAAACGGGATCAAGTGACACTCTGTCGTAAATATGAACGTCTGAATTTATTTTTAATATTTAAAAAACTTTATGAAATAAATTCTACAATTAAAAAACCATATTTCCATTCATTGCAGCATATTTGCAATAATGTTCACTCACTTTGACATATTCTTAAGTATATAGAATATTACTAAATGTTATTACAATTATTTTACGTTTGATTTATGTCATATTTTCATATATTTACGTAGTTATTTACATATTTATACATAACTATATATAGTTATGCCTATTCATACCAAATTATTTCATCGCACCACAACCTTTCATTTCATCTCCCTATTTCGTGTCTACCTTGCAGCCAAAATTATACCATAACTTCCAAATTTCGCAGTACTCTCTCTTCTCTCTCCTTCATTTCCATTAAAAGCCTATCCATTTCTGCACACTCTAAAACCTTTTTTTATTATCATAATATCGGAGGGAGTGCTGTCACTTTTCCAATTCTGGGCAAAGGCTAATCTTGCTGCAAGCATCCAAATTTTGATCATCTGAACTGTGGGGGCACATCAACCATCATAAGTGTGAATAAGTCACTTTTTTCCCAGTGCCGTTGTAATGTTGAACGTTCACTAAATGAACTGTTGTAAGTCAAGGACTACCTGTAATGCTTCGTATCGCAGCTATTATTGCTTTGTTCAATAAACCCCGGTTAGCAAAACTGTGGCTTAATTAAGATGCATTGCCAACCGGTGACTTCTAAAACGATTCTTGCTGTGACACACGCGCCTCTGAAAGCCAGGGGAGTTTTATATGTTACACTTCTGTCTTTTGTCCTATGTTATTTTAATAAAGCATCGTTTAAATCGACGTTGACGGGCTAGATTTTTAACTGTTAACAAAGAGATTACACCAAAGAGGGTTGCCAGCTTTGAAGATGTACGATAGCAATTAAAGTGAGTCCTCGGCACTTTTCCTTCCTCGGAATGCTTTCTACATTTGGGAATCGATCCTCCTCCTAAAACTGGCGTTGCTGTCAAGAAAGAAAAAACATATTTAATGTCCATTAACAGTATCTTTCGGGGTTTTGTCCTTGTTTGCTCTTTTGTTTCATTTTGTTTCTCTTGTTTCCCCCCACTCTCAGGAACTGAGAACAGAAGCAATTGGAAGACCTCTTGAGATTAATGAAACTGAAAAAGTGATGCGTGTGGCCATCAAAGATATTTTGGTAAGGATGAGGGGTTTTTCAACACAACCTCTTGGTTGGTCAGTAAGTTGCCTATTTTTTTTGCTATGCAGGTAATCCTTTGACTTACAACCGTTCATTTAGTTGTTCATCGTTTAATGAGCTTGGATTGGTGGAGTCAGCGCAACTGAGTGGAACTGAGTATTTACTGGCCGGATGCCCTTCCAGTTGCCAGTGCAGAGTTTGTGAGGCGAGAGTTCCACCTCTAGGCTGCCGCACCACTCATACAACAGTTCATTGAAGGACTGTTCGAAGTTACAACCGCACTGAAAAAAGTAACCTGCGTTTCTCACATAGCAACCTGAATTCTGGGCTCAATTGTGGGTCGTAAGTTGAGGATTTTTAAGATGGTTTCCCATACCTTCCTTCTCCAGTTTACCTCAAGGAGTTTCCTCCTCTTTGTCCTTCTTACTCTCACCCATCTCACGCCCCTCTACCGTAGAGTCACAGGTGTCACTCTGGATGGCCTGCCATAGAATTGGCAGCTCACCTCTGCTGCGTGTGATTTCCCCCCCCCGCCCTTTTATTTTTTTTGCAGGAGCAAGTCCAGAAAACCAATGACATGCTCAACAACGTGGCCGCCGATGAAGCCAGTTTGGAGGCCAAGATCGAGAAGAGGAAATCCGAGCTGGAGAGAAGCCACAAGCGGCTGCAAACCCTGCAGAGTGTTCGGTAGGTGCTGAGCTCCTCTTGGTCCCCCGTTAAGAGTTAACTGAAGGTTCAGTCGCCTGCAGTGAGGTGACAACAGTTTGACCTCCCAGGGAGGCTGTAATGCATATGGCTCCCCTGATTCCTTCCAGTGTGCTCACTGCAACGATGGGCTGTTTTTTAATCATCCTTTTGCCAGGTCATGATAGATACATACGGTAGGTAGATAGAGATAGAGAGAGAGAGAGAAATAGAGAGAGATATATATTTATAGATAGACAGGTAGACAGATAGACGATAGATAGATAGATAGATAGATAGATAGATAGATAGATAGATAGATAGATAGATAGATAGATAGATAGATAGAAGGATGGATGGATAGATAGATAGATAGATAGATAGATAGATAGATAGATAGATAGATAGATAGATAGATAGATAGATAGATA